AAAATCTTTATATTTGCATTGATAAAGTCTATCAGTGGACAAAACACATCAGCTAAAAAAATTTTCCTTTAGTCTTTTATACATATATATATATATATATATATATATATATATATATATATATATATATATATATATATATAAAAATGCCTGTCAGCTCACATGCAAGAAACTTATTAATATAGCCAGTCCTGTGGCAGACCAAGGACAGGAAGTTGATGCATTTGGCCTTTTGTTTCCTGTCTACTTCTGGACACTTATTTCCACTTGGGGAAAGAAAATGTCTCATTTCAAACAATGGCAAAAAGCTCTTTCAAACCAAAAAAGTCTGTCAAGTTTATACAAAGTCTACTCCATCATCAATATCTTTGATTTGTTTCATAATAGATGTAAAAATGCAGCCACATACTTCTTCTTCAGCTTGTTAGTCATTGCTGATAATGTTAACATTCACTCAACCGCAAACAGGTTCTTTCTAACGTACACGGCCGCAGACATCGAACTGACAATGGTCAGTATTATTCCAAGCAAAGGTTCAAGAGGAAAGGTCAGTTTTCAGGATGTTCACTTTGTTCTTTTCTTTTTTCACCCTCCCATTTTTGTCTAAATCAAATTTATGACGTGACCTTTGATGTACTGCCAGCTGTGTTGAGTCGACATTTAGGAGACTCCTTTCGACTCTCGTGACAGACAGAATCAATAAATTCTCAGAAAATCTAAGATTGCAATTTGATTTCCTCTTAAACATTAGAATCAATAATCATGTCTTTCTTTTTTGTTCTTCTTATGATTCAAGATTTTGGCCTTCTTTTTCATTTCTTCTATTTTAACAAGGAAGACGAAATCTGTTTTTTTTTTTTTTGCTTACAAATCAGTGCTTCTCAACTGAGGCGCCGTTGTACACTAGTGTGCCACATGATCCTCTTAAGTGTGCCATGAAATATTATCATGGCATACATATACATGTCTGTCAAGAAGTAGTAACGGTACAGTATTAGTATTTGAATAAATGAATAGGTATTCAACTTCTTTTTTAAATAATTCTTTTCACTATGATTCTTCTAATACAGGACTTCAGTTTTGTGAAGAAGAAAAAGAATTGGCCACCATTACTTGTGATTGAGGGCTCAAAATAAAACATTTGACAGTACCCATTGATACACTTTTTCAATACAAAATGAATATCCCACATTAGCTAAAAAGGCTTTATCAGTTTTATTTTAATTTTCTACTTCTTATTTATGTGAATTAGGTTTCTCAACCCTAAATAACATCAAAAATAAAAAGCAAGAAAGATACACTCAACGGAAGAAGAAATGACGGTCTGCTTATCGCACATTCGACCAAACATTGAAGAAATTGTGAAAGAACACCAGGTAGAGGTTTCAGACTAAATAAGCTGCATGAATAGTTGAATAGAAATATTGAAATAAAGTAAGTATTTCCGAGGGGATTTTTTTTTTAAAACAATAGTTTTATTTCGTAACATTTAAATGTATACCTTTTAGAAATATTGCTAAGTATGCCATAATATTTTCATTTGCTCCGAGGTGTGCCGTTACTTAAAAAGGTTGAAAAACACCATTCCAAATGAAGGGCAATTTGATGTCAGTTTAATTTGGGCTTATGACCATATCACATAGGATCACCATAGTTAAGCAAGGCTGAACCATGTCAGTACCTAGATGTGAGACGACTTGGTAAATCCAGGTGCTGCAAGCTTGGATGTGTGGCTGGTGTAATGGATAATGTCTCAGAAATGGAAACTCGAGAACTGAGTTCCCGTTCCAGTCATTCTCATTATATTAATTTCTGCACAAATACACTTGGATAAGTATTGAATCCAACTCTTCTCTCCCAACTATGGGTCAATGAGTAAGATTTCTAACAGTAAAAAACATCATTATCTTCCCCATAAACTTCTTACAATCTGAAAATATTTTCTGGCTTTAAATAACCTGCAAAAATGTTGATAGGCTGTAAAAAAAAAAAAAAAATCAATCAATGAAACCAATTAATTGGTGTTTAACCATTTAAGTAGTATCAGTCAGAATCAGCAGATAATATCATTCAGTTTAGAAGTTGTGACATCATAAACACACACACTCATACGCAGAAAAATTAATTTGTCTATATCTGTATGCAAAAAGATACTAAATTCCAAAATTGCTAATAAATGATCAAAATGTGCAAGCATTTTCTTTTGGAATATATATATATATATATATATATATATATATATATATATATATATATATATATATATATTGTTGTGGCCTTGTTAGGGCCAGAAATAAAAGGCACAAAGAGAGGAATTGAGTTAAACAAATATATTAACAGAAACAGTAATACAAATGAAAGTGTTACAACAAGAATGTTCGGTCTGACTGTCAGAGCTGACTGCTGGAAACTTCCCTCTCCAAAAGGCAGTACCTGCTCCTATTTATAACTGGTAGAATCCATGTATGTGTGGGTAAATTACCATTATATTTGTATATATATATATATATATATATATATATATATATATATATATTCTGTGTATTTAAGCCTCAAACTTTAAGGAAAAATACTATTAAAGATTACAGAATTTTGTGTTAATTAATTTTAATGATTTTCCATATTACTTGTCAAACCAGGAGAAATTGTGTCTGTTGGAAAGAGTCTATTGAGTGAAGAATAAGTCTTTTCACTCAATAGCTTGAAAACAATTTGATTAAGGCTGTCATGTAGGGATTGAGCATTGCTAACCCAGATATGGCAGCAGCACTCAACTGAACTAATCTGACTCTTGTAAATATAAATAAAGTATGGCAAGAACAGTCAAATACTTCCTGGAGCGATTGACTTATTGATTGTTTTTTTTACAGACTATCAACCTGTATTGTTATTCAAAATCAGAAAATATTTTAAAATTTTATGTATTTTTTTTTTTTTTGTGTGGGGTAATAATGATTTATTGATACAAGTCCTAATTAATTAATGGAGGTCATGTGAATTCCTACCTTTTTTAAGGCTATTTTCACATAAGAATATATAAGAAAGTCTGGAATTAAATCTAGCCTTTCTGATTTCCATTTCAAAGCCATTATCTATTGTACCATCAAGGACATCCAAGCTTGCAGCACCTGGTATTCTCAAGCAGTCACTCATTTAGGTACTGACCAGGTACAACCTTGCTTAACTTTGGAGATCATGCAGGAAGCAATGTTGCAATGTAAGCTTTCCTGCAGTGATAGAATGAGCCAAGCATATGCAAGTGAATACTTGATAATGTTATTAGTTTTCCAAAATAACATGCTGAAATTTATGTAAAGATGTCTAATAGGTTTTCTTTTATCCAAATGCTTGACTAGAATTCATTAGAAGAGTCTCCAGACTGATTCTCATGTCTTCTAATCAAAATTTCCAATCAGAATTTTTGCTTGGATTGTTTTTAACTGCAGGCAACTCTTTAGCATCCCATACACAAATTTGTTGGATGCCAATCTATTGTAAGGATAAAAAAAAAAAAATCTGTTGATCGACATTTTTGTGTTTTGTTTGTTTTTCAATTTCAAGCCTATCCCTTATTTTTTTCTTACCCTGCTTTTTTTTTTTAAGTTTATTTCAATTTGTTCAAACCTATTTTGTTTGAACATGTTTAGTTTGTAAGTTTTCATTTAGTTCCTGTAAATTATTTCTTTTACCTTTGTTCCAATTGACTGGGTGTTTTTTTTTCTCTCTCAAACCTCTTTGATTTATTACCATTCTTAGTCCTAAAAATTTTCTTATCTATGGTTTTTCTCAATCTTTAACTTCTTAACGTTATTTCCTTTGTCCTCCTTTTCTACCAAGCATTTTCTTTCTTTTTCTAAACTTTTTGATTGTTCCTTTTCCAAACTTTTCTTTTTTTCTTTCAATTTCTGTATTCTTTCTTATTAGCATTCTTTCTCCAAACTTGCATTTCTTGTTTTACATCTCTTCTATTTCAAAAATTTCTATTCCTTTTTCTGCATCTTTCAAGAAATGTCTTTATTCTTCCTTCTTATTTAAATTCTTCTTCCAAACTTGATGTGTTTATTTTTCCTGTTTTCTTTTCAAGACTTGAAATTAATTTTTCTCCAAACATTCTCTTAATTTTTCTTTTTCACTTTATTTTTCCTTCTCTTTCTAAACCTTTTTCATTACATTTTTCCTTCTCTCTCTAAAAATCTTTCTTGTTTTTTTTCTTTCTAAACCTTTTTCATTTTCTTTTTTCCTTCTCTTTCTAAATCTTTTCACTTTCTTTTTCCTTCTCTTTCTAAACCTTTTTCATTTTATTTTTCTTTCTAAACCTTTTTCATTTTATTTTTCTTTCTAAACATTTTTTATTTTATTTTTCTTTCTAAACATTTTATTTTATTTTTCTTTCTAAACCTTAATCATCTTTTTTCCTTCTCTTTCTAAATCTTTTCACTTTCTTTCTAAACCTTTTTCATTTTCTTTTTATCTAAACCTTTTTCATTTTCTTTTTCTTTCTAAACCTTTATCATTTTCTGTTTTCCTTCTCTTTCTAAACTTTTTCATTTTCTTTCTTTGTCTTTTTAAACCTTTTTCATTTTACTTTTATTTCTCTTTCTAAATTGTTTTCATTTTCTTTTTTTCTAAACCTTTTTCATTTTCTTTTTTCTTCCCTTTCTAAACCTTTTTCATTTTACTTTTCTTTTTCTTTCTAAACTGTTTTCATTTTCTGTTTTTCTAAACCTTTTTATATTTTTTTTCTTCCTTTTCTAAACTGTTTTCATTTTACTTTTACTTTTCTTTCTAAACATTTTTCATTTTATTTTTCATTCTCTTTTTAAACCTTTTTCATCTTCTTCTGAACATTTTCTACATTCTTTCATTCCATTTTTACTTTTTCTAAACTGATTTTCCTTTATCATTCTCTCCATTTCAAACATTTTTTCTTTCTTCCAAGATTTTTTCTTCATTTGTTCAAAAGAATTTCTCCATTTTCCTTCCATGATTTTTTCATTGATATGATTCCTTTCTTTCTTTTGTTCAATACCTTTCCTTCAGTTAAATCTAATTCTGTTGTATTTTTTCCTTCATTTTAAGAGCCTATTATACTTTTCTTTGCACACCCATTCTTTCTTCTTTTCCTCAAAAGAATTCTGTTTCATTCTTTTTCAACTCTTCATTTTTTTCTTTTTCCCTCATTACCAGGTTTTCATAATGTAAAATAATTGTGAACAAAAATTACAATAAGCCCCAGTTACATTCATAGGCATGAATATGCCATTATTAGAGAAGGCATCAAAAAGAAGAAGAAGAAGAAACAAAAACTGTTTGAAATGCCACAACAAAAGCAGCCAGACTTCTCAGGCAATATTCAGCAGAATCAACTTTCTATTGTGAGAATATCCTTCATTTTATTCCTGCTATCAAGTCAGATGCTAAAAATGACTGCCCAATCGAGTTTACAATTCTCTGATTAACCATGCTGATGAAAGAGCAATATGACATACCTTACTTTGCATGTTCTGTTTATTTATTCCCATTGGTTATAAAGTCTAAGTGACCTTTGAATGCATTATAGGTATGATGATAAATAACATCTGGGAGCAAGGCCTTTAATTAGTAGATTGGACATTTTGATGTACATGAAACCATCTCTTAATTGCTGTTGTGCCCAGGTTCACCCTGACCTGGAGTGGTAGCACCTGTTAGGGCCACAGCTATGGGAAAATAATGGACACATAAACTAGGGTCAAAAATCTATGAATGTATAAAAATACATTCTTACAGAAAAAATTTGCAATAGTTAAAAAAAATTCTAGTAATAGATTTTAATAGTGAAAAAAAAAATCAGCAATAAATTTTAAGAGAAAAAAAAAGGAATTCCAGCAATAGAATTTAATAGCAAAAAGAAAATTCTAGTAATAGATTTTAATAGTAAAAGAAGAGAATTCTAGAAATAGATTTTAATTGTAAAAAGAAAAAAAATTTCAGCAAGAGATTTTATTAGTAAAAAAAATTTCCAGTATAAGATCTTAATAGTAAAAAAAAAGAATTTCAACAATAGATTTTAATAGTAAAAAGGATTCCAGCTTAAATTTTAAAAGTAAAAAAAATTCCAGCAGTTGATTTTAAGAGAAAAAAAAAGGGAGTTCCAAGAATAAATTTTAATAGTAAAAAAAAGACTTTCAGCAATAGATTTTAATAGTAAAAATGAATTTCAGCAATAAATTTGAATAGTAGATAAAAGAATTCGAGTAAGTGATTTTAATAGGAAGAAAAATAAATTCAGGAATAGATTTTAATAGAAAAAAATTTAAAAAATTAGTCAAATAGAAAAAGGAAATTACTAAAGCTCACAAAAGAATTAAATTTTGGTATTAAATGACGCATAAAGAGTTGATATGCCATCAGACAAACCTAACGAAATCACTTTTGAATATGAATGGCCAAAAGATTCCAAGACAGAATTTCTTTGTTTTAAATAGTTTCAATTTTGCTTTGATCACTTCAACATTAATACTAGCATTACTATTAACCTTTTACTTTATCAGACTTTTGTTTTGTACCATACATTTTGTTCCATACTTTATAAAGAAGAATTACTTGTACATTGTATTAAAATGGTGTAAATAGACAAACATATTTACTGAGAATCTATTTAGCCACTGAAGTAAAGGTCTAATATCCACAGATTTTATCATATATACTGTTGTAAAGTAGTTTTCACAGTGGAGGCTTGTATTTCGCTAAGTCGGTCCTAAAAGGCTCCGACGTACAAAACGTTAGGAACTTGAAATAAGAGTTAATGATGCAGCAATCTAGTTGTGATGGTTGATACTTCAATGTCCGACATCGACTGACTCACTCAACTCCACTGAGCTCAACTGGCGACCGCTACTACTACTACTACTACTTATGTGTGGGAGATTCTATTAATAATAGAATAGGTACATTCAGGTATAACATATATATATATATATATATATATATATATATATATATATATATATAAAAATCTTTTTGAGTTCATTTGAACCAGGATGAAAATATGTACATTTCATACATCACACCCTCTAATACCCTTGCTTTTCTCCTTCCCTTCTAGTACACTTCACATTGTGCATTTATTTATTTATTTTTAAATTAGGAAATTATTTAGCCTGGATTGCCTGAAGATGCTGAAAGCTTGAAACCAATGTAGTAGGATCAGCTGATCTAATTTTTTCATATTTAAATGCTCTGCATGTTAAATTTTTGTTCTATTTTATTTTTTTTATATTTGTATTGAGCACTTTTAATACTACTTTTTTCCTGGTCTAATTCAGCTCTGACCAATAACATATATATATATATATATATATATATATATATATATATATATATATATATATTTGGAAACAACATTTCTTTTTTTTTTTGTGCACATGTGTAGTTCTGCCAACATAAAAGATTTCATCTGATAAAGCCCTGAAGGATGAAACACGTCACAAGTAAACTTTTTCCACTTTGTCATACAATTTTCCCAACATATATATATATATATACTAAAAATTAGGAGATCAGACAATCAAGCTACCTTCATTTCAACCTTCCAATATCTTTAGTTGATCCGGGTTAAATAATTTCCGAACTCTTTATTATTTAAAAATAAATAAATACACAATTTGAAGAAGAATAGAAGGGAATGAGAAAAGCTAAAGTATTGAAATTGTAACAGAGGCAGGGTATATGAAATGTACTTTCATCCAGGTTCACACAATCTCTAAAGGAAATTTTTTGTGTGCATGCATTGGGTCATCATTTGTGATTTCTCATTCAGAAGGTTTTTTCTGCTCTAGAAATGTTATCAAATAATAAAGTGTTAGGAAATTATTTAACCCAGATCACCTGAAGATACCAAAAGGTAGAAACCAAGGTAGCATGATCGGCTGATCTCCCAATTTTTTTTTAAATTCAAAAGCTCTGCATGTTAAATTTTTATTTTATTTTATCTTATTTATACGTATATGGAGCCCTTTTAATACTACTGTTTCCTGGTCTAACTCAGCTCTGACCAACAACTTTTTTATAATTATAATATATATATATATATATATATATATATATATATATACACACACACAAACACACACAAATATATATATATCTAACATATGATTTTGTATAACTTTATATATATCAACAAACAGTATTTATAAAAATAATATGACAAATTGGAAAAAAGAATGAAATGCATCACAAAACAAAAACCTTTTTCCAATTTGTATATATATATATATATATATATATATATATATATATATATATATATATATATATATATATATATATATATATATATATATATATATATATAATGTGAAAAGTGTATATAAATATAAATAAATATATATATGTATAATTATTTATATATTATATGTGGTCCCCCTAGCATATTTAATACCTTAAAACAATATGATCAGATATAATTTCCATATGTAACCATGAGAACAAACACCTATTACCAGGCAGCTTTAATATAATAACAATAATAATTTTGTAATTAAAAATTAAAAATTATAGCAATCTTCAACTACCATAATTTTACACAGAATACCTATTATCAGGATTTATACCAAAATAAATTAATACATATAACAAAATAAAACAAAAATAAAATAAAACACCAACAACCACTTTTTAGTTCAAGCTACCACCACTAAAACTACATTCATGGTTTTATCATTCTCCCACCACCGTTACCAATCATTTCTACCAATTTGCAATTTCTTCCAATTTACAATAACTATTAGCTAAATATCATTGTCTCCAATCCCTTGAAACATTACTATCACATCATATCATATAGACCCGTTATTAAATTGAACCACCCTCTCACCCAGTATATTAAACATCACCATATAAATTAAACAATAAGGATTACAAATTTTTTACCTGTTACATATACACAGTCACCAAAAACAAACAAATAACCAGCTTTAAATATAACAAATAAACCCCATTTTTTTCAAAAATTTAAAAATAAATATAAATAATAATAATAATAATAATTTTTACCTATCATAATTTACACAAACCCCACCACACGTATATACATACATGCGAGGAAATATTTTTCAGCGTAAAAAAAAAAAAAAATTTTTCATAATATGACATGGTATGACATGGATACATTCACGAAACATTAACGAGACATTTCCGCCACACTTCCAATGTTTAAATTTCAACATTTCAACATACAAATGCGTATGTATAGACATAACACCACCCGTATACATACATGTGTCATAGCCGAAACTGCCCACATACGTTTATATATGTATGAGTCCCGACGGATGACCAAGTATGTATATGTGTCTGCAAATATCGATGTTTGCGTTAGTACGATGAATGACAAAACGACGAAATTTCCCCCACCACTTCCACAATAACACCAATACACGCAATCTACATAAACACAAATTTTTTAAAAACATTAATCAGTTTGTCTGACGATCGCTAAAGCGTGAAACCCAGGGTCACAAACTCACATCTATCCAACCAAATATATATATATACATATATATATATATATATATATATATATATATATATATATATATATATATACATACATACATACATACATACATACATACATATATATATATATATATATATATATATATATATATATAAAATAAAGAAAAAGACAATAGGGAAACTGTAGTTTTAGCTGATGCATTTCATCCAATTTGGACTTTTTCAAGGTAAAAAATGAAATGTATTCATTGAAACAAAGTATCTATAAACAACAAGGAAACATTAACTACTAGAAGAATTTAGAAATGCTGTTGTATATTCATATGGTTAACTGAAAAATTACATCAATTACTTTATGTTTGAAGAGAATATTTTCACATGTAGAAATATTGTTTGTATTGTGTTGATGGATTCAACCATTTTCTTTTGCTTTCTTGATATATTTGTTGTGTACGTTGGTTTGGAAGAGTAGTGATTCTGTTAGGAAAAGTGACATTAGGAAAAAAACCTGGGCATAGATTAATATTTGAAGAATATTCAATGGCAGCACTCTTGAGAATTTTTCTTCAGAGTGAATTATAATACACTCATAAAAAAAGAAAATAACATGGCTTCCCTGTGTCTTTCCTCTAAATATTTCTATGCCAATTTTTCTAACGTGTTCTCCTTCTTGGTATCTCGAC